TAATAACTTAATTACTAGATAATATATGTATTTAAACATATTTGCTAGTAAATATATTTAAATACATATATTATCTAATAATAAATTATTATTTTGCTATATATTACAATATATTATTTAGTTAAAATATAATTTTAACTATAAATAATCATTATATTAGGTTATATGGCAGAAGTTAACTAAAAAAGAAGCCAATAAGAAATATCACTGAGTAAAAGGATTTGGAAATCCTATGTAGACTTTAAGCTTAGATAAGTTAAATAGTTTTCTTGAAAATAATAAAAATATTCTAAATCTATTACAAATTGAGAGGTTTTAAAACTTTTTAATCAGTCTTGATGAATTTTTTGAAGAGAAACCAATTTCATCTCTTAATGATTTTAATCATATATAGATATTTTTTTTAGTTTTATTAGAAAGTACAAACATAATTCATGTTATTGCTGTTTCTATAGAAGTCCTATGTTTTTAAACATTGTAATTAGTAGCTATAAAAATAATAAAAAAATAAATTAGTATGACTTGGTATTGTTATAGATAAATCTGACCCTAGAACCTTGAGGAAACATTGTGTAATGACCTATGATCTGCATTATGAAAACTATTATATTATGATGCCTGCAACCTAAAACAAATCAAGCTTTTTATTAAGTAATAGCACTGATCTATTAAATAAAAAGCTACCTACTCAATTTGGAATATAACTGTCAAGATAATATTATCTTAACAGATAAAGTCTGTGGCTGTGTCAATGTGTCATTATATGCTAGATTGTGTGTTATTATAAGATGATAGGAAAAATTATAAAGTAATAACAAATGAGTTAAAGAAAAAAGTGAAAAGAATTAGTAAAAAAGAGAAAAATGGTTTATAACAATAAGAAAAAGAATGTCAAAGCCATGTTCCAAGTTTTCTTCTTTTTTCTTAAAAATTTTTTATAAATATAGAACATTTCTGCTCTATAGTAGAATAAGCATTGGCTCTTTAATAATAGTCCTGTTCTCTTGTAATCTGAATTATCTTTAACTGTAATTCACTTTATAAAATAAATAAAATAAAATTAAATAAAGTTTTAGCTGTTAATTCTAATAAACAAATTAATTAAATTAATAAACCTATGCTTCTTTAAACTCTTCTTCATAATATTTTTAAGGCTACCTTAGATCAGTGCCAAATTGAATCTGTCTCACTTGGCTTGAGTGATGTTACATAATGTTGATGAATTCGAAGCAACAATTTGTCACATTCTTTCTTGTTCTAAGAGTGCTATTTCTGACTGTATTAACCTGTATTAGTATATATTGAATAGTTAATTAATTCAAATTTTTTTATTAAAATTTGTCTAACAATAATAAATTATGATTATAAGCAAATGATACTTTGAGAGTAAATTAATAATATAAATATTATTTCAAAATACTTCTTATACTTAAATTTTATCAAACAAACTAAGAACTACTAGAGTTTGTTTTAGTCTATTAGTATAAGAAAGTTGGTAAATTATGGGGATACTTTAAATTAAAGTTACTTAAATATTATAGTTATATACTGTTAAATAGCATTGATAGATCAGTGCATATAGTCCTAAGATTTAATAAAATAAATAAATATTTATTGAATAATTTTATTTTCTAATTTAAAAGTATATTGATATTTAAAGTATATACTATATATATTATATTTTAATAAATAATGATAAGTCTATATATGTATTGATTAAATAAAACCAAAAATAATTGATTTTTTGTTAATAATAATAAGTATTGATTTATATAATTTTGAAGATAATTAAATTTTTATAAATAATAATAAGTACCAATTTAAATAATTTTGAAGATAATTAATTTTTTGTAAATAACAATATGTATTGATTTAAATAATTTTAAAGATAATTAATTTTTTGTAAATAACAATATGTATTAATTTTAATAATTTTAATCATAATCAATTTTTTGTTAATATTGATACATATTTATCTATTAATATATATCAATTTTGATATATATTGATTAACAACTATTCAAAAATTTTTCTGATATATATAGTAATATATAAGCAGACTACTTAAATTAGATACTAAAAATACATATATGGCTAGTTATAACCTTCAATATAAAGTAACCTCTAGTGGCATACCATGTCCTATATACTTAAATAAAAATGTCACATCCTAAAAATAGAAATTTTAATATTAAAAAAAAATAAAATAAAATAAAAATATTTATTAAACAAAATATCCTTAGTTTTATAGAATAAAAAAGTTAATTGTCTTAATAAAATTTTAAATAAATAACTTATAATTTTAAATATTCAATTATAAAATTTTAAATTAAATTAAATATTTATTAAATCAAATTAAATTTGATCATTTTGTAATTTTAAATATACTAAGTCAGATTCTACCTAATATTAGAAACTTAAGACATCTATGTAAAATATAATGTTATATATATAGAAGAATGTAAAAACCATTGTTGCATAAAGTTTTAGTACAAATCTATAATAAAATCATCAAACATAAAAACTAAGTTATCAAAAAAATAAAAACCTATTTGGAAATTTTAAATAAAAAGATAACACAAACTTTTAATGATGCTATTAAACTAATAGAAATTCATAAAACACTTTCAAAAAAATAATCAAATAAACCAAACAATAAATATATAAAAGAAACATATGCATCAATCAGGCTATTAGAATTATCAAAAAAAAAATACATAAGTATACTACACTAAATTATCTAAATTGGTAATTTGAAAAGTTCTATTTTTCTAAGTAATAATTAGTAAAAGAAAATAAAAATAATATTAGAAAGATGAATATTAAGATTTGAGTAAATTTTATAAAAATAAAAACAGTTTAATGGCTAACTTTAACTGCAAATATTGATCTCAATTATAACACAACTGGGTAAATTATAAATAAAAATACAAAAGATTTTGAAAGTTTACTTTGAGAATAATTGTCTTAAAAATAAAATAAGAATCTGAATTTTGGATGCTCTAATAAAGTTAATACAAAAGTTATAAATTAAAAGGTTTAAATGAAACATCCAAACAAAAATATTAGATCTAGCAACTGATAAGAAACCTTTGAACAAACTCCTTAAATAGGTAATATAGAAAAATTACATGTATAACCAGTTGTATACTCTTCTGTAATAGTTCAATATGAATATATGTCTATATGAACATGTGCTTGACAAAAATATTAATAAAGTTAAAAGACCAAATAAGTCACCTTAATACTAGAACAAAAAAAAAATCAAATTTGATCATATTTGAATTTAAATTGATTTGAAAATTTCAAATATTTGATCAAATCAAATTGTGAAACCCTAGTGACCTCAACATTACTGGCACTTGAATCATATTCGTCCATACTTAAATCTATCTTGGCTCCCTTATAATCACAATATTTCACTTCGGGATTAGATAATGCGGCGGATATATAGTTTGCTGGGGTTTATGAAGGAATGGATGTTTATTATTGCGTTAAACCTTATTAATATATTGGAAAAAGAGTTGTTCCTAGTGGTGATAAAACTAAATGTAAAGAGCAAACAGACATCAATAACGCTTTTTTAAAAATCAGATAAAGTAACCTTTTTTTCATATATCCACTTTTTACCTTTTTTAATACATGTTTGTTTTTTCTGATTTCTGCTTTATTTGCAATATAAAGAAGTAAGAAAAAAAAATATAGTCTTATCGCTTACATAATTTAAAAATTTACTGTTGTTAATCAAAATCTAAAATAAATTGTACATATTGAACCATCGGAACTATAAATTTAATTGAGTTTAAACCGTAACTGATTTTTTTGGGCGAGGCGACGCTTGGTTCGTGCTCATCCAGAACCAGCGGACTTTAAATGAGCGGCGACAACCTTATGTTCCCGAAAACGTTCACACACATGATGCTTGGTGTCCAAAATAGAAAAATGGTGGCTATCTTAAATAAAAATATACTGTATTATAAAGAAAATATAAGGGAAAAATAGATAAGTAAAATATAAGGAATAATAAGATATAAGAAGTGAAAAGTAAAATTTGGATCTGTTCATTAAAAAATCACGTCACAAATACAACTAAACGCGTGAATGGCACAGTATAAACGGCCAATGAAGCATCGATAACGTGATTACTATCTACAGATTAGATAATAACGATAATTCTGCAATGGATAAAGAATTTTTCATTCTCTTTCACTGATAATAATGTTTATACGCCATGCTGTTCCAAAGTCTCATTTTCTTATTAGGCAATATACTTTGAAATCAATACGTCTAAATTTGATTAAACAGCCATTACTATATAGAGTTTATCCTCACAGTCCTTGTAGTCATGGTTCTGTAAAGGTTTTTGCCATATCTAAAATTTTAAATGCTAATTTTTTCAAATTTTCAAGATACAGTTTCATATAGTTTACTTCATACTTATGCTTTATGGGTTTCTCTAAAGGCTTTAAAATCAATAGTCACTTTGGTTGGTATTGTAGGCTCAACTTATTGGTATGTGCAGAGAAACAACTTTGCATTTGCTGATTCTATGAATATGATAAATTCAAAATCTTACACAACTGGTAATGTGCACAAATTATCATTTATGCTTCATTTTTATTGCTTATATTTATGAACTTCTATGTTATTCCATGTTATAGAGGAACCTGAAAGTAAACGTCTTATTCCAACATATATAACCCTATATGATGGAACAAATGCGAAGCTAGTAGGGTTAGGTATAAGAACTGTATCATTCTTGAAAGTGAAAGTTTATGTTATTGCAATGTATATTCGCGAAAGTGATATAGAAATCTTGAAGAAATGGAAGGTATCAATTTTTTTTTGCGCATTAGTGCATCGTATCGATCGGCCAATCTGATTGCATGTCCATATGTGTTAATGAGAAGACAATTTTTCGCCTAAGATATTCTAACGAAAAAAATACTCTACAAAAAATTTACTATATAGTATAATATAAACTTATTCCTTTACTAATCTTTAATCCAAATCTGAAGATAATAAACACAGGATGCACAAAATGCAAAAGCGTTATTTAAATTTTCTCTTTTTTATATGATACATGCGATTATAATCATTATTTTAATTAGGGTTATGACAAAGCAAAGTTTTTATCATCTAACAATGAGTCGGTGGCGTCAAATTTATTGGACCAACCTGTAGATATCGCTATTCGCATAGGTGATTTTGTTATTCATATCTTCGTTAATTATAATTTTCTAAATAATTTAACACTGATTTTGAAATGAAAAGAACCTGTACGAAATACTAATGGTCAGCATTTACGTGATGGATTCGTACGTGCTCTTACGAATAGAATGCAGAATGGTCACCTAGATGACGATGATGATGTTGAAGTATTGTTATTTTTATAATGACGAAATACACTTCTAATTGCTATGATATAACTTTTTATTCTCTTTTAGGGCGTACTTGAAGCCCTTAAAGAATTTAAAGCTCAATTTCCTAAATCATTGGTTAAAATTGGTACCGCTATGATTTTAACAAAACAGAAAGATGGTTATTTAAGAATTGAATACGAGGTTTGTTTACTTATTTTTGTATATATATGTTACATGTTGTTTATTTCTAATTTCTTTAATTCAAATAGGGAGTTCACTCTGGTGTTGTAAAAAATAAATGGTTAGCAAAAAATCTTTTCATGGGTTATTTTGCTGCAAGTGATCCCATCTCTGAAAAAGTATATATATATATTTTTTTAAAAAAAAATTCCCAATTTTTATTGTTTAATAATTGCTTATAAGATTAATTGTTTTAACTATTGATATTTAGGCAAAAATTAGTATTGCTGAAGGATTTGATAATATATTAAGTATGAACAATACAGTTTAGTTAGAATTATAAAAAATATTCAATAAAATTTATTGTTCAGAATATAGTTTTTAAATTGTTTTATTGTATAACTAATATAAGATGAAGCGCCCATTATATACAAAAATAAGTTATTAGATATACTACATATAAAATATTGTGAAGGATTTCTAGTTTCATGGGTTATACTGTAGAAAAACGGGTCGAGGTTTATAGACGGTTTGTTATAATCGAAAGGTTTATAACAGCGAGTAAATAAATTAATACGAATATGGTGTTTATGATTTGGTATGAGTTGTATAGTTAATATAAAATAAAATAAAAAATTAGAATGTTTATGTATAATATTAGTTCTGGACCTTCTTTAGTATAGGTGGGCATATATAATTATTATATAAAGATCAGCTATTTTGGGCTAATTCAAATTGTAATACTACCCCTAACTAGGGTTGTTAATGGAGTGGCATACTTCCGGAGTGAGCCCAATCCAAGTTGGTGTGAGTTAAAGATATGGCTAAAAATCTGAAGTGAAACTGTAGTGAACTGGAGCAGCTCTAAGCAAGCCTGGAGTGGCTCTGTAGCGAGCCCAACCCTACCCCTAACCCTACCTATATATATATATATTCCCACCCACTAAAGGTTAATTTCTTTTTTTTACAGATTTTCAACTCGTGACTTGAATAATTCGGTTCGAACCATGATTCGTGAGATTCGCGAGACGATCAGATTTTTCAGGAACAGAGTCTGGTACCGCTTTTAAAATTTTATGACTCAAATATTCGAATAAATTCACAATTCACAAATTCAAATAGATTAACCCAATAAAATGATTCGAGTACCATCCTAAACTTAATTCATGTATCACGAGTTGAGGCCAGTCTCAACATTAAAAACTTTAGAGGCATCTTTTTTTTTAGTTGCTGCTAAGTGTTTAATAAAAAATTGCCAATAAGTGCGCAATGGCTATTATTATTAAATATGTATACACAATACTTTGAAAAAATAGATACTCTGAGCTTTAATTTTGAGTAGGCTACATTGTTTTTATAACTTTTTCTTGTTTTTGCTAAAAAGAACAATATAATTTGTTCTATCTCTTACACTACCCACTATAATAATGTAGCTTAAAATGAGCTTTGATATAAACTAAAATCCAATATAAATTGATACCTCGATCATAGATCAATCGTGATACTTTGCAGGCAAAATTTGCCTTAAAATGGCGTAATAGATATGAGGCCAGTCTGTAAAATATTGGTTTGGAAATATCATTAATTAGACGTAATCATAAAAAAAATCACTAACTCCGATCATAATTGCTTTGAAAAATCAAAATAAAAAGTATATGCAGCATATTGCAACGATTTAATATAAATAGTGACAATTATAACACTTTACGTCAATTTCTTACACCAAAATGCCTCCAAAGTGGAATCCAAGATATCAACATAATAAGCGATTCCAAAGAAAATCCAACCCTCGTTTTCACTCTCGACATCAGAACAAAGACAACGCGTATAATTTGTCGTTAAATAATATAAATCAATCAATAGACAACATTCACCCCAATTCAATAAGTGGGTTACGCAAAGTTTCTGAACTACGTATCCTTTTTACCTTGGCTCTGGTTTTATTAAATCTGGTACAAATTTATTTATACGTATCCCTTTAACAAGTCTTTATTTAGCTGATCGATTTAGATCATTATTTCCCTTTGGCGTCTTCAACAGCATTCAGTCACAATGTATTGATACCGTAAGTCTAATGCTTTTATGTTGATCATTATCTTCATTACTGCAAATTGAGTTTCTTCTACTTAATAGGCCTTATACACGAATGAAAATCTCGTTGTAATCGGTATTATTTTTCAGTAATCATGATTTTATTTATAAAATTTATTTCACCTAATAAAATACGTCAAAATTATTACATCAGCGCCAACTGGATCCGGTAAAACTGTAGTATTTGAGCTTGCAATGATTAATGTACTTATGAATAGTAATGATCATGCAAGAATGGTGTATATGGCGCCAACTAAGGTATTTATGATTGCATGAAATTCAAGATTTCCACCTTTTATTAATTCGTCTGTTTGTAAACGCAAGGCAATTTGCTCAGAACGGGCGCAGGATTGGTCTCGCAAATTTCGGCACATTGGAATCACATGTATATGTCATGATATACATTGGTTTTCCATGTATAATTAAATAAAATCTTTATTTGTTTTCACTATTCTAGGCGGAGAGTTGACCGGAGACACGAACACGGCCCATATTGCTGATATTAAAAAATGCAACATTATGTTCGTAAACTATTATTTTGTAAAAAAAAAAAAAAAATTCTCTATTATTATTTTATTAACGAACGCGTAATTATTTTAACGAACGCGTGATTATGTACCGAACGCGTAATTATTTTAACGAACGCGTGGTTATTTTACGAACGTGTAATTATTTTAACAAACACACAATTATTTTAAACGAAATCATAAAGTGTGACAACACCTGAAAAATGGGAGTCTGTAACGCGTCAATGGTAACAGAATCATCTTTTGTTTTATACTCAATATTTGTGCTTTATTAAGATATTAATTATTACCAGGGTTGATATCAAGAATTTGTTATCGATGCTTAAATTATTCATGGTATAAATACGATAATTACCTTGATCCGGCAATGCTATGTTCAATATATTTATTAGCTTATTACATTAGATTGACGAAGTTCATATATTGCACGAAGACAGAGGTGCCATTCTTGAGGCTGTTGTAATGTGTCATACATTCTGCTTCATATTTTCAACAACAAATGCACATAATAAAAGTAGTTTATTATTAGGTTAGCAGAATGAAACTCATGGGAACCTATAGCAGATTTATCGCAATTTCTGCAACCGTGCCCAATATTGAAGATGTTGCATCTTGGATCAATCTTGGTTTTCAGAGTGACAATAAATTTCCTCAAAATAATGGTATTCTCTGTATTTCTCTTATTGATTGTAAATATTCAACTGCAATACTCAAAATAAATATCTTATTTACAAATTATAACGGGCAAAAGTTAAAATTTTACAATTTGGAGATGAGTATCGACCTGTACGACTCTCTCGTCAGGTATTATCTTATCCATCAGATGGAAATATATTCAAATTTGATAAAACATTGAACGATAAGTATGTATCATCTTATTTGTGATAATATATGGTCCATTGGTTCTTGAGAATTAATCGTGTTTCCAGACTTCTTGACATAATTCAACAGTATTCTAACGGGAAGCCCTCAATGGTGGTAAGTTATATATACTTCCGTAAGTTCATTAATTAATAATAATACGAGCTGTCAATATTCACGCTGAATAAACAATCATATTTAATAGTTCTGTATAACGAGGAAGTCTACAGAAGAAGCGTGTCAGGCTATCGTTAAACAAATCAAAAATATGCATAAAGATTTACCGTGGAACATCAGGCCAATGTAAGCATCGAGGTTTCTTCATTGTTTGATTTTGTTTACCCACTATCACATTAATTCGATATTTTAGTGAAATTACGTTTCACGACAAACAGTTACAAGGTATGTACTCATATTTAGCTTGATTCGGTATTTGTTTTAATAAAATTTAATAAAATATTTATAAAATTTCAGAATTCGTAAAATATGGTGTTGTCTTTCATCATGCAGGACTTCATATGCAAGATCGAAAAAATATTGAATCGATGTTTTTACAAGGTGCAGTGCATGTTATATGTAGGTATAGACAGATATTAGAGGCCAAATTCTGGCAAAAAAGTTACTATTTACACAAAAATATGATAATTGGATAATTGGTATTTATTACTTCCAGGCGCAACATCGACATTAGCTATTGGGGTCTGTTTTAAGTTTCTTATACACGTATATAGTTCGTAAGTTAAATATTGTTATTCAAGTAATACTTATTGCCAATAGGTAAACTTACCAGCTCACTTGGTTGTAATCAAATCAACTACGGCTTATAAAAATGGCGGTTTCATGGAATATTCTGACTCAGAGATTAAACAGATGCTTGGTCGTGCTGTAAGTATCATATCTTTTGATATGTACTTGTTGATAAACAGTGTCTTTTAATCTTTGTTATTTTTAGGGTCGACCGCAATTCGATGATAGTGGAATAGGTAAAAAAAATAAAATAAAATAAAAATTTAAATTGCCATAGAATATTGACAAAAAAAAATTATCGGTTTAAAACATCTATCTATCTATTTATCTATTAGCCGTTATAATGACAACCCATAATATGAAACAAAAGTATGAAGCATTAGTAACCGGAATTAAAGATAAACTCGAGAGCAGGTAATTCTTCTTTTGATAGTATTTCCTAAATTTTAACAAATTATTTAACTCATTCACGTAAAATTAGTTTGTATGAAACACTTCACGAACATTTAAATTCTGAAATATGCCTTGGAACCATAGATCACGTGAACAACGCAATGAAATGGTATATACAATTTTCAATTATATCATTATTATTTTAAACTATAGTTATATGTATATTTTTTTAATAATAATAATAATAAATAGGCTCAAAACTACTTTTTTATATGTGAGGATGAAGTCAAACCCTCAACGATATGATCCAGGATTTAAAGAAGGACAAAATTGGGAAAAAAGGCTCGAAGGAAAGTTTCAGGTCTATTAGTATAAATAGTAGGTGCAACATGATGAATTGATTTTTTTCGTTTCTTACAGGAATTTGTATGAATGACTTGAGAAACCTTGAAATATCCGAAATGATTGTGATGAATAATGATAATATCAGGTCGACTAGTAAGTAAATGTAATTAAGAATTCTTTATCCGTTAATTGATTTCGACTAATTTTAACATTGAAAAATAAGAAATTGGTGAAACAATGGCAAAGTATAATATAAAATATCTGACAATGCAACGCGTATTATCAATATTTTCATGGCATCAAAAAAACCCGACATCATCAAAAGAAGAAATTATAAAAACTTGCGTATGTATATAAATTTTGTTTTTAAGGCAACATTTTCTTCACTTACAAAGTAATCGACTTGATACCCAGTTAGAGAAAGTATCACAAGCAGAAGAATTTAATGAAGTAAAATTGTATCGTCATGACAAACTGGTATGTATGATATATTCCTTAAATCACAATTATTCATGTCATTTTATTATTTTTAAAAATTAGAATATTGCTTAGGCGTTAAATAAGCTAAATCAACATGCGGATATCAAATTTCCCCTTTCTGGAAAAGTGAAAGAAACTAGAGAAAAAGTTTTTATCATGATCCAAGTAGGTGCATTAATATGTACGATGAAATTTTTGTAAACTAAAACCTTCAAAAACTATTACCAGGTCGTATTAGGAAATGTACCTTTAGAGGATTCATCAACTCGTGTACAGTTCAATACGGAATCGAGAGTCATCATTCAACATAGTCATCGTATACTGAAATGTAAGCGATTATTTATATATTGACTTTTTTACACTAAATAAAGTTTAATATATATATATTTGTACACAAACTCTAGGTCTTGTTGAATTAGCAGCATATAGAGAGAATATTGCGGTTTTGAAAGTTTCAATAAACTTGTAAATCTAAGTTTTATTTGATGTATATTCTTAATTTACACACTCCCTAATACTTTACGCTTTATAAATGTCACAAGAGCGAGATGTATGAAAGCAAAAATGTGGAATGATTCTCCGTTGATACTAAAACAACTAGATGGCATTGGTATTTTTTAAATCAAAGTAAATCATACTTCGCTGAGTTATATATGAATTAATTACCACTTATATCATAAATAGGAGAACAATACGCGAAAAAACTTGCAGATGCTGGAATTACAAATTTTGAACAATTAACAGAATGTGAACCATGGAGAATTGAAACTGTTAGTGGCAGTTTAAATTTTTGAAGGAATCTAATTTAATATTGATAATTGATAATATATCGATATTGTAGGCTTGCAATCGATATCCACCGTTCGGACATAACGTAAAAGCCGGTCACATGATATACTTCTTTTTTGTTTGTTTAACTTTTACGAACATAAAATTTATATAGGTTCACGAAACAGTTTCGAGTCTACCAAAGTTTAAGCTTGATGTTGAACGTGTAATTAATTTTATAAGAAATCAAATATTTTTTTCTTTTATCTTCTTTATTTCGTAATAAAAACCTACTTTCATTTGGGGATAGGGTGTTTCTAACTCACCAGAATATCAAATTTATATTGTGAATATTTGCCTGAGTAACAATAAGAAAATATCCACAAAGCGTAATGGAATTAATTTAAATGCTGCATTTATAGCGGCTACAGAGGAGTTATTACTAGAATTTCGTCAAATGCCGTAAATATCATTCTTTATTGTTATGATGTATAGCTTTACATAATACTTTTCACTAAGTTCAATAATAACCAGGTTATGGAAAATCCAACAAGGATTAAAATTTCATTTCAAAACGAATATACAAATAAACCAACTAATCATTTGTTCCGTTTTACCGGAGGAATTTAGTGAGTGCAAGGGTTTTATTCTTTTTTAAAAATTTTTGATGCAAACCAGGTTACTGGATCACATTGTGTAAAAATTCGATATTATTTAAATTTTCAGTCGGATTGGATGTCTACAAAACAATTGTACCCGATATTCAGTTTGCGGATATTTGTGAATCGCCGAAAAAGTTCGAAATAAACAAGGTATAGTTTCATTTGTAAAATTAGGCATAAAATATTTAATATTAAATAAAACATAAATTTGTAAAAAAAAAAAAGCTTCCTTCCGAAACGAGTTGTGTACAACACCAAAAACAACATGTTATCAAAAGTAAAGAGGTAAACCATTTTGGAATTGTGAATAATATTGTTTAATAGTAAATATTTATAACTTTTTAATATTCCATTATAGACATCCAGTACGAAGGAAAAAGAAAAGCAACATGATAACAATATCAAAGGTCCGGAGTTGTTACCTAACGGACGAGTAAAATGTAATCATCCTTGTAAAGATAAACAAAAGTATGTTGCTTTATCATTTAGTATATTATGTATGGTGTTATGCATAAATCACAGTTCTAACTGATTGAGATTAGATGTGCACATGAATGTTGTAAAATTGGGTGTAGACGTGCACCAAAGAAGCGAAAGAATAATAATGTAACATTTAGCGAAGAGATGAAATCACAGCCAACTACTCATGTTGAACATGATTTTTCAGATCAATCATGGCTTGAAACTTTGGATATGAATGAGTCAGCTACTCATGTTGAATATGATTTTCCAGATCAATCATGGCTTGAAACTTTGGATACGAATGAGTCAGCTACTCATGTTGAATATGATTTTCCAGATCAATCATGGCTTGAAACTTTGGATATAAATGAGCCAGCTACTCATGGTGAATATGATTGTCTAGATCAATCATGGTTTGAAACTTGGAATATGAATGAGTTTGATTTAATGGATTTAGATGAAGATAAGTTTTCTGAATTACCTGAATTACCTGAATTACCTGAATTACAAGAAATGACAATAGAAAATAAGAAAGATGCAGACAAAGAAGAATTAGTGAATGAAGAAAATACGACTTGCGTTGAAATAGAAAATACAAATAAAATATATGATAACTTAACCTCCGATACTGACTTTGAAATTTCATGGGAAGTTAAGAATGAAATGAATTGTAAGACTTTCACTGAAGCATTGGATGTTTTCGATTACGTACTTCAAACCATCCTTTAATATTACTATATCTGATATTACAATAGCATTTATATCTCAGAGCATCAATAAAAATTTCGGGATGGCATTTTTTACTTATATCATTTGCCCTAATCCTAACCTTAAACTATCCTAACCCTTTTAATTTAAAAAAAATACGAATTTATTTGCATATATATATTACAATTTAAGAAGTAAATAACATAACTCAAAAATAAGTTTATCCCAACTTTAATTTTAATTATAAAAAAAAACCCAGCAAATACGTATAATAGATTAAATAAAACCATCAAACTGAAAATTGAATATATAAAATAGACAAGTTATAAAAAAACATAAATTTGAAGGTTATTTTTTAGAGTAAAAGGTTAGCTTTAGAGGTAGAATTTATATATATAGTTTAAAAATTAAATTATTTTAAACTGATTTTATTATACGTACAGTAATACAATAACTACGTATTATTCATAATAATATCTAGATTATTTTATTAATTATAATTGAACTAAGATTTGCTTATGCTATATTTTAATATAAAATTAAAATGTTTGAAGCTTTGTTGTTGGTTTTTTTTAAAACTAGGTTGGAATTTGGAGGTGGTAATATTAATAAAAAGTATATATATGAATTTAAGTAGGTATTGGAATTTAAATAAAGGATTTCAAATTTTAGTTTAAGCAAATTCCAGCATAAGCCAATATATATATTTATTCTTAACTAACAAAATATTATATATGTTGTTAACTTGGAAGTATTTAAATAAAAATATATAAAATATATAATTAGTTAAAATATGGGGTCTTACCTTGAAAATGACCCTACGGGACATAGTAATTATTATATCCCATAATGTCATTTTTCAAGGCAAAGACCCCATATATTAAAATATATTAAAATATATTAAAATATAATAAATAATATGTAAGACCTTTAATAGAAAAATATCTATTCGAAACTATGCTGATGTTGGTTTTGTAAATAAAAATCAAATTTGCTAGCTATCTAATGAATCAATTGGAAGCTCTACAAATAAAAAATTCATCAGATAGCTAGCAAATTTAATTTTTATTTACAAAGTCAATATAATCTCTGAAGAACTTTTTTCTCAAAAGATCCCGTAAACAATCTATGTTTTTACTTTGAATATAGAAACGAAAAATACTAGTGGTGTGCTTTATTAAACCCGTAAATACCGCGTTTCGCGGTCCAAACCACCCCCTGTTTAGAATATTCACTTGTTTTTATCTGACATTTTTTAAATTTTGCCTGTCATTTATTGTTATCAATACGGTATTAGCATGGATTATATAAAATATAACCCGTAAAATTTACACTATTCTTAATATTAAAACATTCAGTACAAAGCTGTGAAAATTTACAGGGGGTGGTTTAGACCGCGAAATGCGGTAATAATTATATAGTGTTTGTTACTCCAAAAAAAAAATTGCTACAAATTAAAAATTAAAATAAGTAAATGCGTGAATTTTAAAAATTCTGTAATGATTTTACTTTATAGTTTGTATATACTAATATATAGTTATATATATACATATATATATACATATATATATACAAAGTTTTATTTATTAATATATATACATGTAGTCGAATTATAAAATCAGATTATTGGTAAAATTAGAATTATTATTTCAGATTGCATTACTGTTTTAATCTTTTAAAATATATATTATTTTTAATATATACGAAAAAGTATTGTATGCAAATGTTATATATATAGTTATATAAACAAAATTATGACGATAAGGATTACAACTTATCTATATAGAACAAAATATATTTCGAGATTTTACTCTACGCATATTTGAAGAATTAATTACTCCTGGCTGTGAGTTATGCTATTCTATCATCAATGAGCCGCAATAGATAAACACAGCCAGTGTATAGCCTCGGAGTGTACATGATGTCACGTGTATCATAATTATTCTTGGAACTTTGAAATGTGAAGTTTAGAAACCAGAGTAAATACAAGCAAAGATCAGGTAATTATTGTTATCGACAACAATTGATCGTAAAATATGTAATTTACGCCACCCGAGCCTCATTCATTTGAAAATAAAACTTAAATACCGATATAAATTAAGCTTAACATTAAAGGATACAAATATGTAATCAAATATAGCAAATCATGAAACCAATATCATTGATTGAGATGTATGTACTTTTAAACAAACAATGATATAAATAATTTAGAGCTGGTTAGTGTAACTATGACTGTCTAATGCGGGTAAAAAAATTGGAAAAGCCACAAATCAAACACAAACTCATTTAAGGATTTTGCATGGTTTCAGTAATACAACGATGATTCATACGTGTGTATCAAATCAATATACTTAACATGGCGATATACCATAGGTAAGATAGAAACAATCGACATCATTCATCGAAGTGAATTCGAAGTTTAAGACTAATATAAATCATAAATTAAAGCAAGACATGTAAATATGGAAAAGGTAAAAGAAAAAATTTGCGCGTTTCTGTAAAAACTAGAGATATCACGTGCGCTGCTAATTAAACAATGTACAAAAAAATAACTAACCTTAAATCATTATTTAATTGGTCCCTCATTCAATTCGCATCAGACACCATTTTTAATCCAGATGAAACAAGACATTATCAGCATCATATATAGTATGAACTATTACTTTTTTCGTACAATAATACAGTCAATATTTATCAAGCATTTGTATTATTATACCAATCGGAGAAACCAAATCTAACTGATAAAGAAAATGGTGAGATCGAACCGTATTCGAATTTATGAAGAATCGCATATATTGATATAGGGTGACACTTTTATGATAATTTCACGCGTTTCATTATCATCGGCAATGATCAAGTATTATAGCAATAAGCAAGTTCAAAATATTGATCAAAACAGATCATTAGTGGTATTCTTTGTTATTTCTTTGTCGGACGTATTTTCTAACACCCGCCACATTCCCTGAAACATAGATGTACATACTTTAAATTTGCGTTTCCATTCATAAGACGATTTATCCCTCGTACTATACTGTATGTTGGTTGATTCACGTATTGGAAATCCTTTTTATATGCCTTAATTTAGAACACACAGCCTCAACTGTATTGACTTGATTGACGGTTGTTAAATTGAAATAATAAATAGGTAAAGCTGGACAGAGAACAATAAAACAACAGATCACGCCACAAATAGAATTTATCGCCGTGTTATAAATTAATTACAGGATCATTGATGATGATATGATTCAATGAACCTGTGTGTAATCAATGTGTTGGCCACGGCATGAGCCACATGTCAAGTGTTATCATGTACCTCAAGCCTCTTGTTCCGTTGTCCTACAGTACATGCCACATGTACGCTCTTCGTACTACCCTTTTAAAAATATCTTTGCTATATAAGGCTTGGTATGTACTATTTTTTTTTTTATATATATAATCTTTTTTGTTTTTGACAAAGTCACACTAGCCGAATAAAAAAAAACATGCAGATTATTGAACATTGAATCTATTTTATAGTAACATTGCACAATATTGACGGGAACTCGGGAAGTTTTTTTTAAAGCAAATTACAATAAATGTATTCCCGCCAACTTTTTTGTTTAAAAAAAACTCCAATGTATATTTTCACAATTGTTATTGTCACATTTTTCGTTTTTGGACGCATGAAGAAGCGGTACAACCCGACTAGAACCTGTGTAAATCCCGCATATTAACAGGTCTTTATTAAAAAAAAAAAAAATCTTGAATATCTAAAAAAGGTCCAATGGATCTCCACTGGAATCTGTATATATATGGTGGACTTCATCTCTTTGAAAAATCTTTAACCACGCTTAGTTTGAATTTTGTTCTATACGGTCGGTTAATTGATCAAAGAACAATCACTTTGGCGGTTTCTTTTTAAATAAAATAGTCAAAAAAAAAAAATTTAAATAAAATAAAAATAATAAAAAATAAAACCGTAACTCTTGGTTGTATGCGCATTTTAAGTATTGTATTGTATATATTATTTATTATATGCCATACTACAAAGTGCAGAATCGCATTATACACTGATTCACGCATATCAAACTCTTCATTCTTTCATTACCTTTCTCTTACCTACTATTCTAACGAACATTATCCTTATATATCTTAATACCCTTGATTTTTTAAAATATTTTTCATAATCCGATAATAAATATTTATGTTGTTAGTTTTTTTTTTTTTTTCTTATTTTTCATAATATAAACTCTTCACAAGGACGAACAATAAATCCGGCTTCGCCTTTTTCTCTTGTCGCCCACTAACTTATTTACGTGAGTTTGTTTCTTATAATAAGATCAAATAAAATCTGTTTAAAAGAGAATATGTTATTCACAATAATGTTATCTATTTATTTCTTAAATTTAGTGGTAATCCCTCTTTTTTAAAAAAAGAAAAAAAAACCCCAAAAAAATGAGCTATTCTTCGGTCGTATGGATTGATGATCCATTCTTTATCAAACGTCAACGTGTTCAAATGGCTTGCTCTTTTTGTCGTCATCGAAAAATTAGATGCGATGGTAGAAATCCTTGCGCAAACTGCAAAAAATATTCTACCAGTTGTACTTATGTAAAAATTGAAAAGACTACTCGCAATAAAAATAGAGATAAAGAAACAATAGAAAATACTAATCATAACAATGCCACGACGCGTGGTAACTCTTCTGGAAGTGCTCAGATTTCTACTACTTCTAATGACTCTTCCATTTTCGGAATACAAACATCTCATGGAAAGCGTCCTTTAGATGATGTCACAGAACATCAAACTTTACCTCCGGCTCTTCGTCGTAATCCTACTTCCCAAGGAATGTTTTCGGCACCTTCCCCTCAATGTAATTTTTTTTTTTAACAATAACCATCATTTATTTTATTTAATTCTATATAATAAAAATAAATAAATAAATAAATAAAAATTTCCTTTCATATTTAGCTTCAACAATTCTGCCAAGTAACTCAATTTCTGTTGCTAAACCGGAACCAAAACTGCCTCTGATTGACGATCATGTAATACCACCCGACGATATTGTTGAACATTTACTTGAACTTTATTGGACTAATGTTCACCCTTATGTTCCAGTTCTTAATAAATCTATTTTTTTACAACAACGTGAGAGTCCTGATGACCCTCCATCTCTCTTGTTACTTAACGCTATGTTTGCTGTCGCTGCAGAATTTTCTGATCGTCCATCAGTGCGAACAGACCCTGAATCTCATGAAAAAGGAGGATGGATCTTTTTTGATAGAGCCCGTAATATCCTTGATTCATTTTTGGATGCTCCGAGAATGTCTACTATAGCTGCTCTTATCCTTATGTCAATTTATCAACAACATAATACTAGGCGATCCGGAATTTCTCCTGGTTATTTTCGTAGATGGATGTACATTGGAATGGCTATTCGTATGGCCCTTGAACTAGATTTAAACAAAGATTGTGACGATCCTCATCTTGATCGTTCTCATAAAGAATTGAGAAAACGTTTGTGGTGGTCCCTATTTATGGTAGATGTATTGGTTTGCTGCGGAATCGGTAAAGCAAGTAACATCGAAGAGGAAGAATGTACTATTCCTGAACCTGATGATAATGTGAATGAGCCTGAATTAAAAGTCGATGGTGCTCTTAGAGAATTTATTCACCAAATTAAATTTACCAGAATGCTTCACCTCTTGCTAAAACATAATTTTTCTTACAAAGTCTCAACTACCTCTCCATACCTTAATCAAGATAGTATTGTGGCCAACTTTGAAGATCAAATTCAAGATTGGTTCTCCCAGTTGCCCATACAAACTACACATACCACTGAGTCTCTTATTGATAACTCTAACAATTATTCTACAACAATGTTACACCTTCGCATGTTATATTACTCTTTTATCATTCTTCTTCATCGGAGATATATTCTGAATCAAGATTCTCTTTCAAAATGTATTCGAGCTGCACAAGAAGTTACTCCTATCGGCGCTTCAATACTTCGTAACTATTCATCGCCTTTTAGAGGGTTCCTTAATTGCACTACTTGGTGTTTATTACAAGCTGGAATGATTCATGCTTTAAATAAAGTTGTGGGAAATGAAGCATCCTGTAGAGTTGCTGAAGAACATTATGAGAAAATAGTACATCTTTTTCAAGAATATTCTCAAACAACCGCGTTGCAAGTATTGCAAGATCATGCGAACACCTGCAGCTCTCATCGATTGTCCGTAATAGATGTTTGGTCATCCTCAGATAATCCTCCACAACAATCCCCGGAAATGTTCGTCTTTTCACCTGGGAGTAAGGTCGGTAACATCAATAGCAACCTGCCCAACAACCACATCATCAATAACAACGATACCCCTTCTTTTTTACTATCGCCTCCAACCGTTAAATCCTCTATTCCATCAATTGATCATCCTCCTTGTTTTCCTTCCATTGATGTTGATGTTGATGTTGATAATTTATATGAACATCCAAACATGCATACAGACTTAACAAATAATTATTCTAATATGGTTTCATTCCAGAGCTTACAATATGGTGCTACTACTCTCCACATGTCTCCAGCTACGACTACTAATACTTTTGACACACCTCACATATCTCAAATCACAACGCCTTTTTCCAGTCCGCATAACGGGACAATATCCCCTCTCTGTGGAACAACACCTCATCAATCTCCAGATGTCGACCTCGGTCAATTTACAAACATAGCGTCTCCTTTGCTAGAGCAGTCTGGGATCCTGCCAAAAATGGATAGCGTCGATCGCACCTTTTATGGTATAGAAATGCCGATCAAATAATTCCATACATGAAAATCATGTGATCGGCGAATCAATATAGTAGCATATAACGAAAAATTCGTTAATAAATTATCGTTTAAATTTCACCAAAATTTAGAATTATGCAAAATTTTACACCGCGAAAACTTTAATTAATGTGTCAAGGCCCCATTTACTTAGTACGAAATCCACAAATGCGGGACTCAGGACCCATTTGGACTAACGACTGGAGTGACTAAGAAAAGCTTTGATCACATAATTGCATTAAATAACGTAATGTCGACTTCACAAATAATCCAATCATGTAATTGAACTTTTTTTAGTCGCTTTTAGTGATGGGAGTTTCTATTGTAGACGTTAATAACGAACAGTTTTCGGCACAAATCTAAAAAATCATTGTACATTTTTTGTAACTATAAACTTTTATTTTATTTTTTCTTCAAATTCGTCTCCGTGCATTTTTTCTCTTAATAGTTCAAGAGAATTTTTTCATTTAATGACCACTAGAATCTAATACATATGACAAATGGCAAATTTCTGACAATATGTGATAATATTATGGACTCATACAAATCATCTTTATGTTTGGACAAACAAATCGAAATCTGCATATATGTAAATTGTAGATAATATTGTATTTAAAACTTTATCATAAATATCTCGTTAATATATTTTTATTATCCGTTACATAATAATTTGTTTACACTAACAATTGTTTCATTATTTAACATGTTCGTTGTTTATGGGTGTGGATTTAAAACTGAGTTGCGTCAAAATGAAATTTGAAGTGCAAAAGGCTAAAATAACTGATAATATTTCGTTTACCTTCATATAACTCAGTTTTTCGCAATGATATTCGTTTACATTACAGTTATTTTTACACTTATATATCTTTACCGTAAGTATACTAGAACTCTGCTATAGAGTTGCTTTTTGATAGATATATGTCCGCTATAATCTAATTTCGAATGAAAAGTAGATCTATGTAGTATAGTATTCATGGATAAAATTGAACTTTTTTAATTTTGACCATTTAATGCTTTCGAATAATCGTTTAATCAGATACGAAATACGCATATTTCATGAATGATAAGAATTTCGATCAGGCGTAACTCAAAATGAATCGTGAGATCGTTCGTTTAATTTGTTAAAATCAATTTGATTGATGATGTCTAATTTCGGGTCTACGCCTCTTCAAATCTGACGCATAACGCATGAAAATGGTCTAGGAGAATGTTTTTCCGAAGTATGGTAGCTCTCCCTCCCCTCCAATTATCAGGTGTAATGAAATCTTTAAGGTTAGGATTAAGTCACATTAGGGGGGAATTGTTTGATTAATTTTTTGGGAGATCTACAGGCGCGGGATTCTCATAACATCATAAAAGTTCATTTTAATGAATAGGACTTTTATATCGTTATAAAAATTCCGATTTGACATGTTCCTTGACCAGTTCTTATATAACCTATTGATATTTAACGGTATAGAACCGAATTAAGTTAGATTCTTATAATACTCAGCTTTCATAATATTTAATATGATTTTTGAACAAGTAATGGTAATATTTTCACTTCAAGGTTTGGTTTTAAACAAGAAAACACCATTTTAAATATATCCATTATTATCATCGCTATTATTAAGTTACAGTGGTTATACGTATAAACGTTTCCATATTTGTTATGCTAACCTTGTTTACGTAGCTTACACCAAATACAGATTTGCACAATCTGAATATGTTTTTATCTTTAATTGCGACAGCTATCCAGACAATGAAGGATGCATAACGATAAATTAATATATTTATAAAACAGCTAGACCGAAAAAAACTATATTCAAATATATCTGGTTACTGTACTTTTTGATGTAAAAAACCAATTTTCAGTAACAATTTGTGTAAAAATTTTTTTATATTGTGTATACGTATAAAAATTTTGATTCTAAAAAAGACCAATTACAAGATTATTCAAAGTCTGATATTTGACCTTATTAGTATTTAATTAGGTGCTAAATAATAGTCATTACAATCTAATTTCGATAGTCACTTCTGATATAATTACAAATTATAAAACAATTATTATTTTTTTGCTTTACAAAATTGATATAAAATACAGTATAAAAAAAAATCAATTTTGTATAAGCACTGTTATCTTGGTTGTATTAAATTTTGATTCCAATTTAGTAATTTTTTTAGTAATTATGCTACGTATCATTTTATTTTTTTAGAAAACTTAAACTTAGGCCATGCAAAAAACAGCAGAGACCGTTAATGTTACACATAAGTTAGATATGTGCTAAAATCTATAAATTTAGGCGGTTTTACCAAAAATGGCGCACTACGTATGACGATTATGACGATGATGTACGTACGTATGTTAGTGTTACAGCCGACCAGCCAATAAGGGGTAAATTCAGGGGCATGCTATTTGATCCATTTGATTGGTGAGTAAAAAATCATGGTTTCTTCGTTCGTTACATTCATAATTTCTAAGTAACAAAGTATTTTAAAGTTCTATAACAAGTCTGCATTTGAATTCATATACATTGCTAATTATGTGGAGATTTATTTGACATTTTACATTAATATCACCTCATAGTGGTAATGTTTTAGTGGTTATTAAAATATGAGGTAAAGAAATCATAATAAATTTGCAAGTGTTTATAAACTCTATAAACATATAATGGATAAGTATTATAATATATATATTATGTAATGTATTCAAATGTCTTTGTTGCATCAAATGACAATTCAAAATGATTTACACAGAATCAAACAGCAATTTACACAGAAATGCTAAACAAATACTAATAATAAAGTAGCAATCACACAGATATCTCTACTTATTATTAAACAATTTCTTACCAAACAGAATAATCTAACACATCAATATTCACAAGATGTATTAGAGAATAGGTTACTGATGTTTGTAAAGAACAAAAATATGTTTATTATATGTTTTAAAAACAAAATAAATATTGCAAAGAGCTTTTACAATAGAATTTAGATATTGTAATATGGTTGCTTAACCTAACTAGATTCTAAATATTTGTTTAATAAATATGTCGTCGCCAGTCAAATTAAGCAAGAATATTACTTGACTTAACATGAATGAGTGGTTAAGAAATGTGTTTAAAAAAAAATATAAGTTGTATTCCTAATACTAAGATAAAAATAACTAAAATAACTAAGAAATAAACTAAAACAA